AAGATAAAGCTGTTTGTCTTTACCTCAGATTTCTTCCACGTGACCAAAGTGATGCCACTCAATCATACACTGTTTTGCATTCTGTAACTTCAAAATGAAACCTACCTTCTCTTGACAGGTAAACTACATGTGAAGAGTGGTGAAAGGGAACATTGAATACTGAAGTGGCCTGGAGAGGGAAAGCACTGGTTAACATCACATGGACAAATTTCATTGTTTTCTAAAGATGGCCTGGAAGTAGTCTGCCACTGCTTCCTCCACAAACAGCTCTTCATAACATGGGCTGCATGAAATCAAAGCAAACTTTCCCATTTCCTACCATATATGAAGGTGAGAAGCAGCATGAGAGTGAAGAACCCTTTATGCCAGAAGAGAGATGTCTACCTAAGATGACTTCTCCAGTTAATGTCAAAGAGGAAGTGAAGGAACCCCCAGGGACCAATATTGTGATCTTGGAATATGCACACCGCCTGTCTCAGGATATCTTGTGTGATGCCTTGCAGCAATGGGCATGCAATAATATCAAGTACCATGACATTCCATATATTGAGAGTGAGGGGCCTTGAGGCTGTAGGATGACAACACTTTGACTGTGGAGGTGCTAGTTTGAATACATGCGACAAAAGCAAAAACTGGTGTGAAAAAGTACAAATACCTATCTGGATTTAAAAATGTGTCTACGATAATGTCACTAGTATAAGAACACCTAGGATGAAATGCATTTTAAGTACTTCTATGTTAACAGAAATTTCTCTCTGTTTACTCTTAGATTTTAGTCATCTGAAGGGCTGAACAGAGGTCCTGTGATACCCAATAATCAACTGAATGTCATAGCACTTCTTCCTAAGTAATGGCATCACCAAAGAAAATGCTAAGGAATAAAAACTGCCCCAAATTCCAATGGTTATTTTAAAGGTTGTCCTTTAAAATAACAATTTTTTTAAATTTATACCCAAAAAAGTCCAGATATGAAAAGGGCTTTTCTAAAATTTCTTGGCACAGGAATGGCACTCAAATCATAGTGATTAACAGTAAGTCTTGTTTGTCAAGGATCTCTACTTCTTGACACAAATGAACCCTGTCTTTAATAAGATATTTATTTTTGTAGATGAGAAGTGTAACTACCACCTTGGACCTCAGGGCCCGAACTAATTACAGCTGTTATTGGACGACTCAGACTTTGCCGACTTTGTGCCTAAAGCCATCTTAAAGATAACAGTTTATAGAAGCCATGACATTAGTGTTTATTGCATTGAATTAAGAAGCCCAGTGATATAACTATACAAGAAAACAAGTATGGGTACCGTTTATAAAGAGCAATCCAGTGAATCTTAAAAATAACAGAAACTTGGTCTGCAAGGTAGAAAGTTTCAGTTTTAATTGTGTATTAAGCTTTACTATCTCAGAGGTACAGAGAGCTGGAATATGGGCATTTATTCCCAGTTTTTTCTTGACTAGTGAGGCGGTCGCCATTAAAATTACTGTGAGACCAGATAATGCATGAAGATTTACAGTTGTATCGCAAAACGGAAAAGATAAAACTGTCCTTTGAGGAGAGTACTCGTTTTCTGGGTTTTTGTTATTTTTTAGTGGTAACACAAGCCTATAGGGCATTTATAGCCACCTATTATACTGTTTCCATAAGCCTAGCTACCTTTTAGGGAAGTATTTTTTCTTTTTCATTTTTACTGTCACAGCACATACACACCTTTTTGTTTTAAGGGATTAAGTACTGTTTGAAGATCAGTACTGTTTGAAGATCAGTAGTAACAGAAAATTTGGAAGGGGGAAGAAGAAATTAAGACATAACTTGTTGGAAAATTAAGACTTGACTTTCTAGAATTATCTTTTCATCAAGATTTGGTACACAATGAGTTTAAATGGAAAGGAAATTATTTAAGCCTGTGTGTGTTAGATCCACAATACACCACTGGTATTGAAAATATAAAGGTTAAAAAAAAGGCTTATTACCTCTTTAATGAGATAAATATGTATTTGTCTTGTAAGCACGCAGAAACTCTACCTCTAATTTTAACACTAATACTTTGAAACCCACAATCAAACAGGGTGAATTCTCCAAGTTACATGAGCAAGGAAAACATTGTTTGAAATATGTCATATTTCAGTTGCCTTTGGACATGTCATCATTCAACTCTAATTTTACCAAATCCTGGGATTTGTACTGTCCCATTGTACTTGCAATCTACAATTTATATAATTAATAGAAAAACAACCAAACCCATTCATACAAGGATCTGAAGTTATAAGGTTAAGGGCAGAAAGTTTCCCGTAAGTATAAAACATTTCCAGGTCATGAAGAGTAGTTCAGGTTGAGTGACAAAAGCATAGATGTGGTTGTTTTTCATTCATTTTGCATCTCACACCAAGACATTTTTTTGCTGCAAGGTCATTTGCTGCTTAAAATGTACAGTTAGGTATATAAAATAAGTACAATGGTGAAAACACAAAGCCACATAAAGCAGCATGTCCCACTAAATTTTTCAGTGTACATAGGGACAGAGACAAGTGAGTTTTGGTTGTATCTAAATATTTTAATTTCAGGTTCCTTCTGTGCCCTGGGCCACTATTTCCCAGGGGTGTAACAGGGGGATGCCTGCCAGATCCATATTAGCTAGAAGTCTGATCTCTGTTGCTGCCCTTCCTCAGCAACTATGGCAGTATAGTTTTATCACCAAGCACCATTCCCTTGTCCCTGAATCACATTTTAATAGAGTACGATATCTTGTGTACAATATTTCCGAAAAACTTATGTCTGAAATATATGCTGTATTGTATGTCAATCCATGACATATATGAACTACAAGGCTTGAATAATCAGTGAGCTAGTGGATAAATCAAGACAGGAGCAGATTGGAGAAAGATGAATAAGCAAATGCATTAAAAAGATGAATAAATGAATAAGAGATGAATAAACAAATTTACATTACATGTGACAGTTATCACGATATAGGTTGGCATTCAAGATGGATGAGAATATCACTAATAGGATATTAGCCTTCTTTCATATCTTTATATTGAAATATGGGTTTTACTTCAATTTGAAGGTCTTTCATGAACAATAAAAGAGAGTAGAAGGACAGTCTGAGAAGGCAGGAGACATATAAAACAGATGACTGAAAGAATCTGAAAGACTGACTAGCTCCTGGAAAGGGAAACATTTGGAACATCCAATGTAAGGGCAAATGGGCTTCTACCAGCACAACAAAGAACCTCCAGGTGGCAACTGTGGAAGCAGGTTATCAGAGAAAATAAATGTGCAAATTCCTTATTTACAACAACTCAACCCCACAAATATGCTTCACTGCTGCCTTCCCCAGTTGTCTCTTATGTACTTTTGTTACCTTTCAGTTACATGCCTTTGATCCTAAAATTCTCTACTTTTGTTGCCTTATCAGTTTGCAATCTGCCTGTGGTTATTAGCATTTAAAGCACAATTTTCAAGGGGACAAAAATGATGATCACCTTAGTCCCAAAGAAATAATTTCTGCCAAACTGCCTTATTAGTTTTAAAAACAGACACACTGAATGAAGTAGCATGATACGCATATATTCTACTCAATATCATTGGCCTTTTATTAAATGGGGAAACTATACTTTTGTATTACATAGTTTTAGAAATGAAAAGTTAGAGACTCTTTATAAGTAATGTCAAGGAACAGTAATTTAAAAACAAAGTTCTAACAAATACATTGTTTGCTTAATCACAATGCCCTCATCTTGTATTTGAATGACTAAATAGGACATGTCTTCCTTGGAGCTATGGGCATTAGTTCAGAAGCACTACCTGCATCTTAATTTTCAAAACTCAAGTTTTATTAGCAAATCCTCTTCTCTGTAAGACTTAGCTAGCTATGAAGTGGTATATTTTTTCCAAATATTTTTCTGAAAACATTTGTTGTAACTGCACAATAAAAGTCCAGTTGCAATTAAGTAGTGTGAGTTCTTATTTAACTGAAGCAAATGCTTTCTGACATTGTGTACTTTGAATTTTTTAACAATATAAAAGACATTTTCTGCATTGTTAATAAATACAGAGAACAAAAACCCATTTATACAAATAATTTCTTGGATCGTTCAGGTCCAATTTAGGATCTTTAAGAGTATAAACGTAAATGTATCCAATATCATGGCATCTTTATTCCAGATCTGTTACTGAATTATTCGAAAGAAAAATGCTTCACGTAAAACAGAGTAAGAACTGAGAAAACATAAAGCAGTACCTTCTGGGCTGACACTTCCTCATCTATGAGAAGGGTGCAGGACATGATCTTTAATGTCTTTTTCAGAGTATGGGATGAAGGAGAAACTATAACAAGTTACAAAAAATTTGTTTATAATTTATTTTGTTTATAAACAAAAATTACAAACAAAAAATTATAAATTTTATTTATAAACTTACCTTTAAAATTATTTAAACAAAAATTACAAACAAAAAACAAAATCATAAATTTTATTTTGTTAATTTATAAACTTACCTTTAGTTTAAAAATTATTCTTGCCTAGAACTTTAAGGTTCTGAGTCTGGAATACCTTTTAGTTCTTTCATACCTTAAAAAGTACTTATTAACAATATTAATTATTGAATATATCTTTTGAACAAAAGTCTTCTTGCTTTCAATTATTTTTTTTCTCCTGACTTGAACCTTGTTTGTAAGGATAATTATCACACAAAAGTCTTACGTAAATTATAAAAAAACAGAGTGTCTCTATCTAAGAGATTGGAGTTTCCTAATTTCTCATTATACTAGATTAACAAATATCACAAATAACAAGAAAATAATGCTTTCAGTTTCACCATGGGATGGTATTCTGATTATTTTAGGGAAGACCAAGTCTGAGTTAATACTGAAGAGGGACGTTAATAAAAATCTTTTCTCTTTGGTTTCTAATATTTATAAAAGGAGCTCTTCTGCTACAGTAACTCAGTTACTTTAAAACATTCATATATGGAGAAAATTCTATGAGGCATTAACACAGTATCCAAAACAATTTTCAGGGTCTTTATTTTTTATATTTTATACTTGATTTCATCAACATACAAGCCACTACCAAAAGCCAAACAAAGATCCCATTTCAATTAGATATACTACTCTAGAGAATCTCTAAAGACCTTCACATTTTTCCATCTTCTAAAACAGGGATTGACAAACTTTTTCTGACAAAAACCAGACAGTAAATAATTAGGCTTTGTAGGCTTTACCTTCTCTATTGCAACTACTCATTTCAAAGCAGTCACAGATAATGTATAAACAGATGAGTATAGCTAGTTCCAATAAAGCTTTATTTGTGAACTCTGACATTTCATATACTTTTCATGTTATGAAATATGAGTCTTTGATTTCTTTTCCCAACCATTTAAAAACGCAGAAACCATTCTTAGCTTGCAGGGTATATAAAAACAGGCAGCAGGCTGGATTTGGGCCACATGCTGTAGATTGCCAACCCATGCTACGAAATATACCTTAAAAGCCTGTCACCTCAAAATTTCAAATCATTGCTTCCCAAAGACTTAAAGTGATTATTCAAATCTTCATCAGTAACTTCTTTTAGATCAGCTGGTTTCCATTTTGGACTCTGGTCTTTATCAATTAAAACTGTCAAGAGAAGATACAAATGTTAGTACTATTTTTTTTTTCTAATATTACCAGATTTTACTTACTGAATTGACAGAAATTCTTATACTAGGCACATTTTTCTATAATACTTTTTTCCTGCAAAGTTCTTATATGTTTTCTATTTATCTTTTAAATTAAACCTCCAGGGATGGACAGCAATATACTTTTGATGAGTGGGTGGATATTTTCTAACTTCCTAAGCCTCATGTCTTAGCTTTAATAAAGCCTACTGAATTAATCCAGTGGTTTAAACAACAGAATTCTTTTTTTCTTCTTGAAATAAAATTGCAAATGAAACCTCCACATACAAAACAGCTAAAACCAGTGGTTTAAAGTAAAGGCAGGGGAGGGCAGAGGGACCAGGTGTGCCTTCTAACCTCCTCCACACTGAATTTTGGGACGAAATTAATTGCTTAAGGTAGAGAAAAGAGGACTTCATACATAATTAAATGTGGATACTGTTGTTCTGCTGAATCCTCCAGTTCAGACAGCTCTGGATTTAAAAAAATCAGGTTATCATGAAACCTTCTAGTTCTTCTATTTCAGTGTAGTCATCACTCATTATAGCCACATAGTATCCCCACAGGATTATGAGGCAATCTGTAACTTCTTAAAAAAAGGGGGGAGGAATGTCCAGTATACTGTAGTTACACAAACGTTATCATTTGGGAGACTGGGAGGAAGGTATGCAAGATCTCTATATAATTTCTTACAACCACATGAATCTACAATGATCTCAAATTTTTTAAGTTATGGTTGTGGTAGCAAATTTCAACCATGCTTTAAAGGCACATAATTCTTGTGAAGAATGGAAATACTTAAATGTGCAAACTATAGTGAATTAGAAAAACCTAATTTAGCATTTAAAGGCTAAAATAGTTAAAGAAGCAGTATGGGAACCAAGGAAGAAGGTAGGTAGAGGGAAGCTTTTACACACAATTAAATGCAGATACTGGAGGTTTTGTTTTTAAGATTTAACTACCTACTATGAGATTCTGGTATCAGATCAGTGGGATATTAAACACTGATGTTCTGACCCCTACTATTTGAAAGTTTTATATTCCATGGACAGTGTAAACGAAGAACAACCCTGGCACATTCTTTCCACAAGAATCCTTTTCACTGTTAAGTCTTCTGGTCAATACTACCTGTCTCCTTGAGATCCCACTGAAGGATCAGAGGAAAGAGACTATTAATCAAATTTGTTATTTTATTTCAAGCTAACAATTTTTTTACCAGAATAGATATAACATAAGTTTGTGCCATGTAGACAGCTCAGGTTTTGCAAGTCTCCTGAGATAGCCACTACATGGAGTTTGAGTGGGTATCCAGCTACAGTAAGATAGTCTTTTTTTTTTCCTTCTATAACCAGAAAGTAATTTGTTCTAGATGTTAACAATAAGAATTTTTAACAACTGTTAAATTTGCTAACTTACTTTAACTTGCTAATGTGTTTTTATTATTAGCAAACTGCAGCAAACATTTGCCTATGTAAGAACACTACAATTTTCACTCTCAAGAACAGACACTGCTTTCTGAAAGAGGCGGCAATATACTTGCTCTTCATTAAAAAACAGCACAGGCCAGGCCCGGTGGCTCACGCCTGTAATCCCAGCACTTTGGGAGGCTGAGGTGGGCAGATTACGAGGTCAGGAGATCGAGACCATCCTGGCTAACATGGTGAAACCCCGTCTCTACTAAAAATACAAAAAAAATTAGCCAGGCCTGGTGGTGGGCACCTGTAGTCCCAGCTACTTGGGCGGCTGAGGCAGGAGAATGGTGTGAACCCAGGAGGCGGAGCTTGCAGTGAGCTGAGATTTTGCCACTGCACTCCAGCCTAGGTGACAGAGCAAGACGCCATCTCAAAAAACAAAACAAAAAAAGTAGCATAATAAGCACTTCCTTTATGAATCAGAACTTTGATGCTGATTGGTTTCAACATTTTTTCCTCAAAATAACAGTGTTTATCTAAAAACATATCTTTCTTTTAAAGAAGGGCTATTACAACATATAATGAATACTTGAACGATATAACCCTGTATGCTTATAGGTCCTCTAAAATCAGAGGTCTAGGCTGTAATCCACATGCAGCAAGAATGTGCAGAGAATTCGTGAGGAAAATGCCTATGTTACTTAGTTTCTACAAGACACATTGCCATCTCCTCTGTCTACAAGACACTCCATGTGCTGAATCCTAAAAAGATTTCAATCAAGTCCTTATTTCTGATATTGTATCATGTCAGAAATGAAAATAACTCCATGAAGAGTGATTGTCTATCAAAGCTTAAGAGTTCAGAGAACATAACACAACCTTTTATTAAGATAAAAAAGTATATCCAGGCTGGGCACCGTGGCTCATGCCTATAATCACAGCACTTTGGGAGGCCGAGGCAGGCGGATCACATGAGATCAGGAGTTCGAGACCAGCCTGGCCAGTATGGTGAAACCCCGTTTCTACTAAAAATAAAAAAATCAGCCAGGCATGGTGGCACGGGCTGGTAGTCCCAGCTACTCAGGAGGCTGAGGAATGAGAGAATCACTTGAACCTGGGAGGTGGAGTTTGTAGTAAGCTGAAACTGCACCACTGTACTCCAGCCTGAGTGACAGTGCAAGACCCTGTCTCAAAAAAAAAAATTTATCCAGAGTCTGCACTACTATAGTAAAATAATAAAAACAGGAACATTAGATATGCAAAATACATGGAGAAGGAACAACTCATTTTATACAACATAAATAACAGCTTTTTATAGGGCTAAGAGTTACACATAAAAAGGAATTATTGCAAGTTTGCTAGAAAAAAAGTCAAGCACTTCACTTGCTTTTTCTAAATCTGCTGACACTGGAGATAATAAGCAAAATGGAAAGTATTAATAAGACAATCTGTAGATGTTACTAATGATGTCATACAGTCTTTTTCCCCAGCAATGTTTAACTGCTGAGGTACGGGCAGGTGGAAAGTAGGGTTAGACCACTGGTCAGTTTTGCCAGACCAGCACAAAAGAGGGAGAAAGGGTAGGGGATTTGAGGGCTTTCTGTAAGGGAATAAATGCATGTCTCAAAGGACACAGCAGCAGGATGGCAGCAGGATGAGTTTACAAGCTCAATGCTGCACTTATCAGAGGTAGTCCATGATTGTAGGGGCAGGATTACCTTATATATAAATTAGGGAACACTGGCCAAGTTATGTGAATTTTTAAAACAATTATCAAAGACTGATCCTCCTTTTCATATCCCAGATGGTAACACATTTTTTAAAAACATACACAATTTTTCAAACTTCATAAAAGTTTAACTTTCACTACTAAAACAACTATGGGTTGAATATTCTTTATCTGAAATGCTTGGAATCAGAAGTGTTTCAGGTTTTTTTTTTTTTTCCAGATTTTGGAATATTTGCATTATACTTACAGTCCAATGAACATTTCCTTTGAGTGTCATGTTGGTGCTCAAAAAGTTTCAGATTTTGGTACATTTTGGATTTCACGATTTGGGATGCACAATCTGTATCTTCTTTAATTAACAGCATATGCTCACAAATCCCATTTCTCCAAAATGGTAAGTTCCCATTTGCCACTTACCAGCTCTAACGCCTTCATGAAAGTCATGACCTCTCTGAAAGAAAATTGAGATTAAATGGGGATAATTTCTGGGTGTCCTTATTCTGGGTTTTCTTGTCTCTCCTCTATTCACTTCAGCCTTCCACTTCCATGGCCACAACCTGAATCATGACATTCAGAGACTGAACCACCTCTGACAGCCCACTCTCTGATCAACACCTCCTAATCTTATTTGCTCAAGTATCTCCACTGCTACACATCCTTGATCTTACTGAAGTCCACTGATCCTATGACTTTTTCCCCATCTGTGCTGGCTTCACTCTGCTCTTCATCCAGCCCAGTTTCACCAGTCCTTTAATATGGTCACTTACCTGTCAAAATGCCATCATCTCCCTCAAACCTTTTTCTCTTTTTTACAATCCTAGCAAAATCCTGGCAACAACTAAACCCTACCACGTGCCCCTGCCTGCACTTCAGCAGCTAAGTCTTGCTGCAGAAAATCATACAACTGTGACTGGTTTCATTTAAAATTCATGATCAAAAATCTCAAACAGGCACAGAAAACTGCCAAACAATCAAAGATCTCTTCCCAACTCCCCAAGATAATGATTTAAAGTGTTTTCTACCTTCTCAACCTCTACCCCTAGAGCACACTCTTACTATAGTCTCAGTCAATTACTTAACCTCTGACTTCTTTAAAAATACAAGAAGCCCTTAGATATGAAGTCTTGTCTTCCCACCACTAAAACACCTGTAGGCAACTGCGGCCATCTGCACCTGCCTTCCCTTTCAATGCCGTGGAGGAAAGGACCATCCCTTTTTCAAAGACCAGTCCTCCCTTGCATTCCAATTCACATCTCCTCTTGCCTTCTCAAGGACGGACTTTGCTTAATGTGGTCATTCACTTTTCTTTTCCTAGAATCATCAATGTAGGCAATATAACTGAGTGGCTAAATGCATGCAGTTCAAATGTCTAGGTTCACATCCTGATAGCTACATATTAACTATGTGACCTTGGACTAGTAATTTCTCCAACCCCAGTTTCTTTACATGAAAAGGTAATTTATACATCCATCGTAGGATTATTTTAATCCACATCCAAGCACAGTGGTTGACACTAAGTGTTCAGTAAATATTAACTACCATTAGTATCATCAACATAATCTTTTTTCTCTATTGGATCATTCCCAATCATTTTTAAACATGTTCTAGTACCTTCCATCTTACAAAATAAAAAAGGAACTTCATTTGACTCCACAGTCCCAGCTTCTTTCCTATTTCACTTTCAAGAGTATTCATCTACACATATTCTCTCCACTTCTTCACATTCCATTTTCCCTCTTCAACTTACTACTCTTTAACTTCTGCCCCCACTCCTCTAAAATGGCTTGCCAAAACCACCCATGATGTCGGCATCACCAAGATCAAATGACACTTCAAACCTCATCTACACTTCAACAGTGTTCAACACTGTCCATTATACCCTCCTCCCCGAAACATTCCTCTCTTCCTTTTGTGACGCCACACTCTCTGGTCCTCCTACCTCTCCATCCTTTTTTTCCTTCCTACTGCTCTTTCTCTACCACACCTCAAAATGTTGGAGTTCCTTAGGGCTCAGGTCTGGACTCTCATTTTCTTTCTATATGATTTTATCTATTCAGTGCTCAACATGGCAGCCTGAGTGATCAGTTCTTTAAAGTGTAAGATCATGGCATTCCTCTCCTCATAATCATCTAGTGGCTTCCCATTTTACTCAGCCAAAGTCCTTATAGAGACCTTCAAGGCTCTGCATGCTCTGCACAGCCTTTCTCTACTCTGGCCTCATCTCTCACTCACCACAACCTCTGCCCCCCACCCCCTTCCACACAGCCTTTTGTGGTCCCTGGCATAGGCAGTCATGCTTCTGCCTCAGAGCTTTGTTCTTGCAGTTCCCTCTGCCTGGGATGCTCTTCCTCTAGGTAATTGCATGGCTTACTTCCTCACTTCTTCCAGGAATTCACTCAAAGAACATCTCAGTGAGGCCGCCTCTGATCATCCCATCTACAATTCATCCCCGTTACCCTATATCACATATCCTGCTTCCTTTTTCTCCTTAATAGTTAACAATCATATAATATATATTTTATGTATTAATCTTGTTTACAGTCTATTTCCCCATTATAAAGTAAGTTCCACGAGGGCAGGGATTTTGTCTGTTATCCTACTCCCTACTCCCCAAGATAATGATTTAAACTGTTTTCTGCCTTTTCAACCTCTACCTCTGGAGCACACCTATGTACCTGGAACCTATGTACCTGGGTATCTCTAACAGTATCTACCACATACTAAGCACTCTTGTTTAGTAAATAATGAATCCCCAAGGTTTTCTTAATTGTTGTTGGTGTCTTTCAGATTTAAATCTCCAACGCATTCCTCTAATCTCTAACTCCTAAATGCATTCCTTCCCTCACATCCAGCAAGTCCTATCAATTCTATCTCCTACATGTGTCTCAAATCCATTTACTTCTCTCCAATGCCACCACGTTTGTCTAAGCACTACTATTTCACACCTGGATCACTGCAGGACATCTATTATCTGGTCTCTAAACTGTTCTTGAACCCTTCCAACCCTATCTCCACATAGCAGCAATAATTTCCTTCTTAAAGCAAATTGAACCGAATCAAATGAAAAATCAAATCACCTCCTGCTTAAGCCTAAGAGGCTTCTCAACATACTCCTTTCTCATCCTTTAGGTCACAAATGAAGTGACATCACAAAGATGTCTTCCCTAACCTACTTACCTAAAGGAAGTTTCCCATTGCCCCCCAACTCCCTCCTGTCCCTGCATCAATCTACCACCAACCCTGTATGTTTTCCTTTAAAGTACTTATCACAATTTATAATTATTTTACTTAGTTTACTTGTTCTTTATAGTCTCAGTAGACTAAACTCCATGAAAATAAAGGACTTGTCTTCTGATTCAACAACATAAGGCTAACACTAAGCATAGTGCCTGGCACATAGCTAACATGTTTGCTGAGAGAATGAAGGCAAGAATCAATCAATCTAGAAAGTGCAGTGAAAGTGTAATGAAAAACATGGAATTTGTGAGGTATACAGGACAGTGGTCAAGACTGCAGGCACTGGAGTAAGACTATCTGGTTTCATATGCCATATGTCTATCACTTAATAGCGGCAAAACCTTAGGCCGGTCACACCACTATGACCGCTATATCACAATTTCTTCATCTGTAAAATGGAATCAATAACAGTACCTATCCTTCTAGAGATACTGTAAGATTTAATGGAGTAAATGCATATAAAGTGCCTAGCATAGTACCTGCACGTAATAAACAATAGATATCAGCTGCCATTTACATCCCACAAGGAGTGACTTTAAGACATGGCTAATAGAGTTATTTCTAACTAGATGAACTACACTGAACATCTTAATAACAATTAAAGTCATTAGGAATGTCTGCTTTCCAGCTATTAAGCCAAATATTCCCTTTAGTCCATATGTTAGTCTAAATAATAAGATGCTTCTTAGGGGCCCTCTGAAAATAAAGGATGACTCTGCCTTTAAAGAGTTTGTCATCTGGAAGAAGAAACAAATATAAATATGAAATGTTTCATGAAATCAATATTCCATGTGATTATTGTCCACTTTATGTTTACAATGGTACTTTAATAATGCTAATTATTTTAAACATGTAACAGACTAATAACTTCCATTTGTGCATTTACTTTATATATATCTGCTTACAAATAAGCCTCTTCATTTTACCCATGAGGGAATTCACATTTACAGAGTTTACACGCCTTGCCCAAGGTCACAGAGACCATCGCTGAAAGACATTAATTTCTATTTTGAATTCCTCTAAGATGAAGTTAGAGAGCTTCTTATACTGACATGCAAATGTAATTGCTATTTTATAAAGGCTTAGTAACAATCTGGATAGCAATACTTCCACACATCTAAAACTAACTGGCCCGTTGTGTTTTTGTAGAGTAAATTTACAGGTGGTTTTAATTTTCTTGTTTGCAATTGTGTATTTTACAAGTTCTACAATAAATGTATGTTACTTTCAGAACTAAAAAATGACAATTACTTTTTTTTTTTAAATTCTTACCATACAAGCTTGACTTAGCCGATACTCCATAGTTAGTACTTCTTGCAAGGTCTTTGAAGACCCCTCCATGAGTTGCCTTAGTGTGATCTTCAAAGATGTTGGAGACATTTTATTAATTACCTTTTGGGGGAAAAAATGTACTACTGTTAGTCCAATAGTTCCTTTATTGTCTATAATAAATGAGCAGAGTATCTATGTAAACAATATTAAAATATGCCAAAATCTCATAAAAGATTATACCCTAGCTTAATCCTGCCAAAGCACCAAACAGAAGTTTTCTAATCTGCTACAAAAACAAAACATCATTCCACAAGTGAAAAAAATTCTGTACCTGTGACTAAAGTAGTAAAATAAATCCATATTTGTAGTCTGCCTAGCATAAATTATGCCAACTAGTTAAGCAAACAGCAATTATACTTAAATAAAATCAATACACACCTTACAAACCAATCATATTCATGGAGTGAAGGAAATAACGCATACAGTGGTCCACTTCCAAGACAAAATGCCTTGAATTGGCATAGGTCAGCCAACTACAGAAGAAACAGGATATACTAGGCCCCTGCTTGGACAGCCAAAGGCTGCTTGTCAGCCTCCCCCTTCATCCCCTTTCCCCCCACTTAGCTGCCCTCACCCGAACCAAAGTTTAGTCTAGATAAAAGCTTACTAGTCTGCAAAATAGCTCACTTTGTTTGTTCTTACTATCCTGCCCAGCTACTTAGGTCATAAGTCAAATACTTGACGAGCCCCTGAGCTAACTAGGATTGCAGTGCATTGTGGGCTGCAACAAAATGCAGCAAGACAACCCAAAAAAAACACCTAAGGCCGCTGCCTAACACTCAACAGGTGACGTCCGGGACGACTGTGACCCTGTAGCATTCAGCCTATAAGGAACCAGGGGAGGGACCTGTGCACTAGGGGGTAAGTTGCTTGTTAAAACTGTGCGCGGTATGCCTGCACGCCAGACACCCGATCTTGCAAGACCGTCATTAGAAGTCTCGCTTTCGCTATTGTCTGGGTCTCTGAGTCCATTCTGTGGGTTTGGACGGTTGAATTGTTTCTCACAACCTGGTGGCCCATACGGCTATCTCTGTGCCTGTATGGAGTTAAGACTCCAGCCGAGAAGGGAGACGCACCCCACTTGATTTATGTGGCCTGCTCTGGATGTCTTGGCTCCCCACAGAAGCCATAGACAAACCCGAGACTTATTCAGGAGGCAGCGGAGGTGACACAGGGAGAAGAGCAGGCACCATGGCAACCAGCCAACCTTGTGCATGATTCAAGGTAGGAAAGTTGGACTATGAGCCCTGCCTTGGTGGTGGGGCATTTTTGGAGAACCCGGGGTGTGCAAGAAACCTCCAGTAAGTGGGGCTGAGTACACAGGGAAAATCTCAGACACAGAGACTAACTGAAAATGTGAAACAGGAATTTTAGGCCTAGAGAACAAAGGAAAGAGGGAACTAAAAAGACCCCCTCTGACATTCTCCCAGATAGTCCGTTGGGGAGAATGTTGCAGGTTTGAATGGATAATCCTCAAACCAGGAACAAGGAAAAGCAAAAAATGATAGAGTATTGCTGTTTTATCTGGCCCAAAAAGCCCATGTCAGCCTTCGGTCTTTTGGCCTAAGTTTGGCTCAGATGAGGATTGGGTGTGCCAAGCTTTAATTCTCTACGTGAATGATAAAACCCATCCACACAAGAGGATGTGGGTTATGTTCTTTGTTGGATTAGTGAATGAACCCCCTGTTCCCCCTTAAAGAGGAAGAGCACAGTAAAGAGCCCTCACCCAATGAAAAGCCCTAGGACCCCCCAACATGATTGCCCCTCCCCCAAACATCTCACAAGGTAGAGGACAGAGAGATCAGGGGGCAACAGGAAAATTGGAGAAAGAGAAATCTAGGGGTCATAAAGGAGCTAAACCCAATGCTCCTTAAATCCTTATCCGAACTTGAGGAAAGAATTAGAACAATGTAAGAAGGACATTGAGAATTTCCCTATTTCTTCTGAACAGTAGACGTCTAATATATACTCTCTTAGAAAAGTCCCTATGGGACAGGGAGGAGTTGGGTTTGTGAATGCGCCTCTAACAAGTACTGAGGTTAGGAATTTTAAAAAGGAAATGAGGCCATTCTTGGAAGATCCCCTCGGTTTAGCAAAGCAGCTAGATCAATTTTTAGGACCCAATTTTTATACTTGGGCTGAGATGACATCAATCAGGAATATCCTGTTTACTGGGGAAGAGAGGGGATTAATTATAAGGGGAGCCATAACCATTTGGGAAAGACAGCATCCTCCCGGGTAAGAAGTCCTGCTAACTGAGCAGAAATTCCCAAATGCAAATCCTGGATGGGATAACAATAAAGAGATCAGGCCCACATGCAGGACCTAAGGGAACTAATAATTACAGGGATTAAAAAATCCACTCCTCCGTCATAAAACGTCTCAAAAGCATTTGAGATTCAACAGCAAAAAAGAGGAGACACCCTCTGTGTTGCTGCAGAGGCTCAGGGATCAAATGAGAAAATATTCAGGATTAAATCCAGAGGACCCAGTAGGGCAAGGCCTTTAATTTTAAAGGTTAATTTTCTGACTAAAAGTTGGCCTGATATTACTAAGAAACTGCAAAAGGTTAATGGATGGAATGAAAAACCAATTAAGGAATTACTAAGGGAAGCTCAGAAGGTTTTTGTAAGAAGAAAGGGTGAAGATATAAAGAAAGGAAATCGGAAAGATAAAGGGGAGGAAACGGCAAACGTAGAGGGCCAGAAAAAGAGGTAAGCTGCTGACCCTGAAAGCAAGGGAAAGCCCGGTACACAGCTGTGTGTGGGGGAGCCACTGCACTAAGCAGCCGAGACAGGGAAGGCAGTGTAAGGCAGTGTAAGACACTGTGCAGGTACACTGGGTGCCCAGAGATAAAGAGTCTGTTAGACATGGGGGAGCCAGGGCACAGCAAGGCTCAGCTCATGCCCAGAGAGGGAAAGAAGAAGAAACTGAGTGTGAGGGAAAAAGGAAATAGGGGATGACAGAGACAGATAAAAGAAGAAAATGAGCGAGAGAGAGACTGGAAAAGACAAAGATCAAAGAGAGACACAGGTGAGACTGGGGAGAGAAATAATGTAAAAGGAAGAAAGTACAAGAGGAGGTGAGAGAATGTGGAGAGGTTGGCAGGGCTGGGGGAAGGTTCTAGAGGTTCAAGCAACAAGGAGGTGCAGGGAAAGGGTGCAATGTGGCCACTGAGGAGGGACAGAGCCCGGGAACTGAGCGATGCAAGTGAGAAAGGGATGTGGAGGAAAGTTCAGGATCAGGAGTAGTGGGTTGCATATGGCAAAGACTAGATGGCTGTTTGTCAGAAGGTGGTAGAAAGCCTTCAGGTTATGGAAGGGTAAATGGATGAAATGACCATTAAGGTTTTGTTGCTGTTTTACTGAGAGGCTGTAAGTCCACCAGGGGCAGCTGTCAGTAAGGCTGCAGAAGGTCTGGGGGGCTACATAAATTAGATCAGAGGGTAGTAAACTCAAATGACTATAGGGCCAGTAAATGATAAGAAGGAGGGCTGCAGGGCTGTGTGGGGACTGTGGCTAACTGAAGAAGGCACACCCTGTTAAAGGGGCCACAGCCGCTCGGCTGTGATGCCAAATTGCTTTGTCAGAGGCCAGAATTCTAACTTTTTATGTAAAATGGGATTTTTAAATGCTGGTTATCAGTTCAAAAAACTTAAAAACCCAATACAGGCAAAAGAGGATGCCAGTTTGCAATCCCTGAAGTAGAGAGAGCTCTTGCTGGGGAGAAGTCTGCCAAGACGCTTTAGGTGGGATATATAAAAGTTCTGTTTCCCAGAGCTTGGCTGGGCCTGGGGGAGGATCCTTGCAGCTGAGGAGGAGGAAAAGCCACTAAGTCCCCTCCCAGAGCGGGACAAACCAGAGACCCTTTGCAGTTGTTGGGTCACCAGCAGGGGTGGCGTGGAATACAAACAGTGCAGCTTTCGGCCTGCCAGGGAGAGGAATGGTGTCTTCAAAGCAAAGAAAGAGGAAGTGAGGGTGGAGCAGGGATGCTTTTCCTAACGAAAGTGCCCCTCAGGAAAGGTACCATAGGCTGTTAGCTCTTCAAACCAGCAGCTCTCGGCCCAGTGCCAGACCCAGCAGGGCCTGATCAAAGGTACCCTGAGAAGCCAGCTGGTAAGTCCCTTGCCTCCCCAAGTTCCTTCTGGGGTCAATGGGCCCTGGGGAAGTGCCTAATCTAACTCTAGCCTGTAATTCCAGCACTTTCTGAGGCTAAGACAGGTGGATCACCTGAGGCCAAGAGTTCAAGACCAGCCTGGCCAACATGGTGAAACCTTGTCTCTACTAAAACTATAAAAATCAGCTGGGTGTGGTGGCACGTGCCTGTAATCCCAGTTACTTGGGAGGCTGAGGTAGAAGAATAGCTTGAACCCAGGAGCTGGAGGTTGCAGTGAGTCGAGATCACACACTGCACTCCAGCCTGAGCGACGGAGCGAGATTTTGTCTAAAAACAACAACAACAACAACAACAACAACAACAAAACCAGACTACTGGAAAAAGACCTCCTGGGTTAAGGCCATATTTAGACAGGACTACTAACCTTTCTACTATGAAAACCAATGACCAATTTTTTAAGAATTATATACTGCGCATATCCTCCACCCTGTCATCCCTTAGGTTAAAAAAACTTCTAACTTGAACCCTGCCTCTTGAGTTCACAGTTAGCCACTTCCAGTCTGGCGAGTCAGTGCTAATTAAAACCTGGAAAGAAGACATGTTCCATCCAAGCTGGGAAAGCCCATATCAGGTACTCCTGATCACTAAAACAGCCATTGGAACAGCTCAACAGGGGTGAGCACATTACACTCGGGTCAAGAGACTGGTAAAAGAACCCCCAAAAGAAAGGAAAAAGGGTGAATGGGGAGTATATAAATCACCTAAGAAAGCCTTAAAGCTACTCTAAGGAAAACCTAAAAGGAAGCTATGAGCAGGCTCCATCATTGGGGGTGGATACAGTTAGGATTAATCCTAACACAAGGGGTGAAAGGAAACCTAAGTACCTGATAGAGCCCAATACTAGGGGTGGAAAGTAGGAAATATCTAATCAAACTAATAGTCAA